ATTAAGCGGGTTCTACTAGGGATGTCTGTCCTCACCTTCTTTATTCTTTTAGTAGCGTTTATATGTTTCTCAGTGTTTGTAACTCCGAAAAAATGAACGCATCGATTTAGATATGGCTATTTTCCCAAACTATTTTATTACAGGTCTTCAGAAGATGTTTATAGTCTGAATGTTAATAAAAAATTTGTAAGCAATTTGGCTTTTGTATATTAAAGTTTTAACGATTGCTAACTATGCACTTTCTTTCTAGATATTTCTATTCTTTTCTTAGTCTTAGTTGTTAGTACTGATCCTATTTTTAGTCCTAGAATTCATCCCTTTGGTCCAAATAAATTGTAATAATAAAATAATAATAATAATAAGAACAATATAATTTTTGAAATTCGTCTTGGTCCAGGTCCAAAAAAATAGGCCTTTCTCTTGAAACATAAAGAAAAAACTCCACCCCCCCGCCCTACGATATTGAAAATTACTATATCTATTAAATTATAATAAATATTGAACTTGCGAAAAAGTTTAACAAAATTTGCCTAAAAAATAAGTGAATATATAATTTAAACCTATGCAAAACTATACGCGATGTATTATATACTTTATACAGGAATGCCTGAAAAAGAATGTAAGTAGTGGCTTGTCGTAAAAAGCCGCCGTTCACTGTGGTTAAAAACCAAAAATGACGTTAATCACATAAAAAAAGCACATATTGAGCCGTAGTAACTGAGATTTTTTTATAAGTGCATTGTAGCTACGGAAGCGAATAGCTTGAAAGGGATAAGTAGCGCTAACAACTACTTGGAATGAAATACTGAACAGATGGTAGCGATTTGGATACCGATATAATTTTTATTTATAAAACGATATATTCAACTTCATTACATTAGTTTAGAAAAATGCTAGTGAATATTCGGAACATTAGAAAAACACAATGTATGTAAAACAGTTTAAGCGATTGATTTATGTGATGTGTAAATATGTGTGAAATTTCTACAAGGTTTGATTTCGATATGCTTTTATATTATTTGCATATAACATAATATTCAATAAATTCGTAGGATGAGGTACAGGCTGCTTCTGTGATTTGACAAACAGTGGAAAAAAATCTAAATGCCGAGAGTTGCTTTTTAATGAGGAAAAATATCATTCAGTTTGAAAGCCATAGCTTGACATGTGTTATTTAGACTCTGCTTCGTTTAGACAAATTGTAGAGAAGTGCTGTGTTGACTTTAAATAAGGTCGTATAAACAACGATGAATGCTGTGCTCGCCGGAATTCGGGACTTGTTCCGGAAAGCATAAAAAGTACATGAAGTCGTTTTGAAAGGCCAGCGTTATTATTATGGATGAACATTTTTCTTTGAGAAATCTGTATTCGAGACAGGTGCCACGTTTCCTCAAATTTGATCGAAAAAAACTCGGCATTGATGCTTCAGAGCGCTGTTTGGAACAGTTTAAGCAAAATAAAAGGTATGATTACACGTGAAATTCGATAATATTTAGCACTCCAAGGTCAAACCGGGAGTCAATCGAGTGAACAACAACCGGCGAAAGCGCAAAATCGGCTAAGAAGGTTACGGAGCTTCTATTTTGTGATGTGCAGGGTATAATTTTCACAGAACGTCTTGAGAAGATGGATCAATAGTGAAAATTATATCGCCTCAAATGAAGAAGTCTACGAAAATGCACAGGGTTACGCAGGGTCAGTTACACGAACTGCATTTCGGCTTTCTACCACGTTTCTCGTTGTCTCCAGATTTAATCGTAACCAATCATTCCAGTCGCGCGAACCTCGAAAAAATGCCATGATTCCAATGTAGAAGTGATCACCGAAACGGAAGCGTGTGAACTAACGTGTTAACGGCATGTGATCTTGTAAGTACTTAACGTTTTTTTATTTGATTTGAAATAAGAATGTTAGTAATTTTAAGACTTATCATGGTTATACTAGATCTATTATTGCTATTATAACTTTTAGAAATAGTAGATAGAAATAAATCAAATCTGATAATAAATTTACTGCCACTACAGCTGTCCACATTAGAGAAGGCTATGTGCACAACAATCTACATTAGATATTTATTTAAGACTTAAAACGGTGTCTGGCGACTTCTCCATTAGCCTGAGAACGATTGCAAACAAAGTTGAATCGTTACGAATTTCGCGTTTTTGACAAATATTTCGGGATTTTTCGCTCAAAATCAATGAAATATCGATACCAGATATATCGCTAGCCAGTGGTGTAAATGTAATAATATTTTTAACACCGTCTCTTATAGCTTTAATATTAAATTGTTTTTGAAATTTTTTTTTAACCCTCGATTCTTGTTGAAGCTACACATTTAAAAGGCAACATTTGTTACAATTATCCCCTTATATAGATATGCTTGTATATTTGTATAATAGTCATACAAAACAAGTGTTGATTAATTAATTAAATTGTAAGTTGTAATTACATTAGAGATTTCATTACGATCTGCTGACGACGGGACCATGTTCATATACAATATATCATTTAATGGAATATATTGGCAAGCATGCATACACACGCGTATGTTCGTATTCCTATAGAGACCATTGTGCCATTGGAATTGTTTCAATCAGTTAGCAATATATATTATAAATACGATATTTATATATCTTCGTACATAAATTTAAATGCGTGTATGTAAGCAATATATGCACGCTGTGTGATTTGTAAAGGAAGGACTTGATTGAAGATATTTTGTGAAAGTCATGCATAACCATGTACATCAATACCATTTGCATGATTATTAATAATAAATGCTCACACTTCACAAAAGCAACAACGGCAAGGATAACGAAAACAACAACCGAACCTGTCAATCTTAACAATGAAGCATTTATATTTTATATGCGATGAAAGGTTGCCTTTGTTTAACTGAAACATCCATCATTCTGTTTGTGGACCCCCACTGGAGAGACAGTTAAACGTAACTTTTATTAAAAAATTACATTCGAATATCAAAAGCAAAGGACTTCAAAAAGGCAAAAAATACAACTTATCTTGGTACGAGGTAGAAAAATTAAATTTGCAAAACTGGCCAAGTATATATACTCGGCATATAATATTGGGGTCGTTATGACTACTAGGTAAAACGTTTCGAGAAGAGTACATTGATGGCAGTCAGTGTAATTATTATAACATGGAGAAAAGAGCTTCTCGTTTAAGCCTTTGTTCTACCATAGATTGTTTAGATAGAGTACTTTTACAATGAATGTGAAAAATGTAACATTGCATGGATTTGCCCTCCAAACTCCAACTTGCTCACTTTGCAATTAGAAGATTTTATACAAAATCGTTTCAAATCAGAATTTAACAATGCGATCTTTCGAATTATTTGAGTGATTAATTTTCGCAGCCAAAATATTATAATTCTTATATTAGTGAAATATGCATGAAATAGTTATGAAATAATAATAAACGAATTATGGGGACACACAATAATATTTATATATTTCAAAACCGATAGCGGAATGTAAAGAATTGTACAATAAGATCAAAACAGTAGCAAGGTAAGATTTTGTATGAACAGCTACGTTCCTTTATTTTCATTAACATAACATTAACGTAATTAGATATATCTTGTTAAACAGGCCAAACTAAGTCAATCAGAGAGTCCTCCACTACTTTTAATTATAGTTTACATGGAGAGCTTTTGGACTCGGTTTCTAAATTTAGCGTATATTTCTTACTACAAAGGTAGTAAATATTAGGCCATTTTTGATAATAAGTTAGAAATGGGAGTTAATATTATAATATATAATTTTCATTAAAATTATTTCCGATAAGTTATGGAACTGAAGACCATCTTGTACACAAAATTAGATATTCTGATGAATTTAATATTACAGTATTACAGGCATTTTTGCGGTTGCTCTGTTGATATAATGTGATCTGATTTTGTATAAGTCATCTAGTTTTACCCCGTTATAAAGTCGCTTGGTATTGGCCGCATATTAACTAATATCTTAATGTTAAATAAATAAACATATAAAGGAAATAAAGCAAATAGAAAGCATTTCCACTTGAACCGAAAACCTGCGTATCCCTATCCATCTATCTCCATGCATCTATTTTCACTAAGTGTACGTGTGTCATTCTCCCACCAGCCATCAAGTGTATAGACTAAAAAATTAGTTTGAGAATTTATAAACGCCGTGTAAAAATCTAAGATGAAAATTTCAACTTTCAGTTAGAAGGTAACATATTTATTTGCATGTGCGGATTTTAACGGCCGAGGAATTTCATAGTTAATTCAAAGAGTTTCGCATCCACGATGTTAGTCTCGATTATATCCTAACTCTGTGCCGTCAACGCCCACGGGACAGATAATATCAATCGTATGACAAGAAAGTTTGGGCTTAAAAGTCTTTATACGTTATATGGCTTTGAATATATGTCGTTTCCTTCCCATCGTTTGTATGCTACCGCTTTCTTTCGCACATTATCTCCCTAAATGATAATCACAGACTTATTTCCTATCAACTCATTATCGTTTTCATGTTATTCAATTTTTGTGCTCGTTCTGTTTCAAGTTCCGAAGTTTACACAGTTTAGCCTAGAACCTACCGATCTTAATAGTTATAAAAATGAATTATCGAACCTCGTATGTAATAATGAGTTTTTCTTTCTGCTGAACCATTCCCAATTAGTTTCTGATAATTTGTAATTTACACATTTTTCCACTTGAAATGTTTGTGTGCTGCTTGTTTACTTTGTGAGAATTGTTAACGTAACTCTTAGGCTGTCAACTTAAGGCTCTCGTCTGTACTCTTGGTTTGAATTCTATGCTTGTCACTTATGGTGACATATGAACAACGTTATGTGTAAATGCAAGCCTTTCTTACTATATATACACAAGTATATAATATGTAGAGCAGTGAGTTATTAATGAGCTAAAAAGAAAGAGAGACAAGACAAGTCGTTTAACACGACTGACATTTCATATTGTTACAGTTAACATTAAGGTGACAGATTTCATGATGTCTCAAAGTTCCCAACAATGTGAAGAATTAAGGAAAGTAAATAAAATTAAGTGAAGGAAATACACTGCTTATACAAAGCAGAAATTTATCAAAGATTCTTGAAGTACATTTTAAAAAATTTCATTATTTAGAGACAAGATCATGGTTGTGCAGCTTTTAAGTGAAGTGAAAAATTAATTTAAAAAAAAAAACAAAAAAAAAAGAAAAAAGAAAATAGAGAAAAACGTAAAAAAGAGGAAACCGATAAAAGGTGAATTTATCACTTGAGCGTGTTTGGCGACTTGATTTGCAATTAACTTCAATTTTATTATGTGGTGAGAGAAAACAGTGAAAATGTTCAGGATTTTATGGCTTTTCGTTTGTTTAATGTTATTCGCAATTCAAGCTGATTTACAGGAAAGAAATGCAAACACCTTAACCTCCTTAAAGAGGGGTAAACGCTATTTAGACTTTACTAAAGGCTCCCGTATGTCGGTGAGGGATATCTTTTCTTTATTTCGGCAAAACGTTATATCACGAAAATTTTCGTTTTATGTTAGTGGCGTTGTAATGTTAAAAATAATATATTAAATGTCACAACCATATGGGGCTATGGCTATGGTTTTCGTGTTAATTTTCCCTTCCCGGATAAAAGTGAACGTCATCATGGAATATTCAAACGTGATATTTTTCAGGCTTTGACTGATATTTTAAATGGGTATGTAAATCCTCACAAAAAATATACGTAACTGATTTGTTTGCATTTCTTTATCTACCATTTATGTAGCCATGGTCTGGATGGTCAAGCTTGTCTATTGAAATCATTTTGTACTGCTTTATTAGATGTTAATAGCGATCTAAGCGATGGCATGTTGTATAAACTACTTAAATACATGTTTACGTAAGTATTTGTACAAGTGAATATGTAATGTTTGTTTACTAAAGTTAATTAAAGGTGCCATTTAACTGCCTCGAAGAGAGCCAGGATATTTTAACCTTTTTCATTTCCTGATGTAAATTTACTCTATTGCTGTATGCTATCTTGGGCTGTGTCGTTTTATACACTTTTTTTAAAATATATGAAAAAGATATGTATAAACTTTTATTCTGCGTCTTATTCTATGTTAGAGCAGTGAAGATAGCTCATCAAGATAATCCACATTTTTTCAGCTTTGTGTTTTTGTTAAAAATTAAAAATTTTCTTCTTTGCTAAGAAATGACTTACTTACGACTAAATTATCGTAAAAATTATATAACTGTAGAAACCATACATATATAAAAAAGAAAACGAACTCTTATATTATCATTACAAAGCCAAAGAATGAACTCTAGATTTTTGATATAAAAAAGCTATCGGAAAAGCTTAATTTCATCTGGAGAGATTTTAATGCTTTGACATTTTTTTGTAACATATTTTGCGCGACAATTCTTGTAGCATCCTGAAAATCTCAAAAAGTGAAAGTATTTCCTTTCAAAACATAAACGACCTTATCACAGAAGTTAATTAAAGAACGGCGTTTATGCCAACGCTTAATATTATCGTAATACTATTAGGCACTTTTCGTAGTTGCCTCGAATAGCTTATTTGGCATCAGTTGAAATGCGGCCCAAGTTGGATGTAATTATACCCGATCGATATGCTGTTTTTTCATATTTCGAATGAATTGCTGTACCCGTGACGTTTTTTTAGTTTCGCTTTGATAGGTTGATAAAACCACACAACTCCGAGTGGTAAAACGTTTGAAATTTAGTATTAAACAGGTAAGAAAATTATATTCGGTTGTGACGGAATAGTTATCGTAAAAAAGGGTAAAGAACTAAGTTTTCATACTCCACAATATTGCGTTGATTTTTTCTATTTTCAGAACAGAAGTGGAAATTTATATAATGTGTGTGTTGTGCTCTATGAGCAACAAGCATTTTTTGTAAAATAGACGTGTGGGCGTTGTAGGTATATCCTTTAACTTGTTTGAGCCAGTTTCAAATAGTTTTGCAAATTTGTAAGCGATATCTCCATTTTTGCGAACGGGAGAAAGTTTACCGCTGATACTACGCAGATGGGCGGATGAACAGATGGACATACGAACATGGCGCCATACTTACGTGCATTCCGAATTCGTAATTGGCGGAGACTATACACACTTTGTGAGGTGTTCGAAGCTTGTTTCCACGCGTCATAAAGGTACTGAAAAAAAAATTTTGTTTGATGCACAATAATAGTGAGTAGGCGTGGTCTATTTCACCCATTTTTGTACAACTAGATTTATCTGCGCGTAGTGGACTAAAAACCCATTCTTTATTACTTTTGAAAAGCAGGTATTCTTAGTTCAAATAGGCCTGTCCCTTTATCGATTTGGCCCATTTTCAATACCACCCTGTCTTTAAGAACTTCCAATATTTTCACCAAACTGGTCACTTCACTTTATTATTGCGGTCAAGAGAGTTTACGACAGACATTATGTAGACTTATAGATGAACATGCGTTTTAATCATATTCAAGTGGGCCTTAGTGGGGTCTCTAACTGTTTCTTTTGGGCCTTGCAAGCGTTTTGACAAAACGAATTTAATCCCCAGTGTTCGGTGACGTGGGTATAAAAATAATTGTATATATATTTCTAAACAGTTCTTCCAACCCAAAGGTGATTGCATTTTTTAACAAACTGTATTCACCTTTCGGGCTGGATCTGCAAGATCTTTCACGAAATGCATAAAGTTTGCTTTATATGCTTTGTTTCGGTAATGGATTAATTTTTGACTGCAAAATTACCTGACAGCTTGTCATAAATTTTCTGACTGGTTTTTATTTAAAATGCTTTTCAGATTTTGTATCACAAAAGTGACCTTTTGGTTAAATAAATTCCCGATGAACCGACCTTTTAAGTGATGATGAAAATGTCACCATTCACACTTTGCAGAACAATCGTCACATATGCTTTTCACGATTATTTCATACTACAAATGTCCACCGCAGGCGTACATGCCCGCAGATTATCCTGAAAATTTTTGTGACACGTAACATTTTTCAACAGTTAAAGCGTAGCATTTACATTAATTCCACCATATAATATATACATATATATATATATATATTGAAAGACTGAGACTCCATATAATATAATACGAAATTTAACTTAATTACATTTATAGGATTTTTATTGATTTTGTGATAAATTCTTGCAGTGTGAATATAAAACAGTACAAAGGTTAATTAGGAGTATTATTCTTTTCGTTATTGTTAAGCATAGTGAAAAGTGAAACTATGTTCTCAATAATAAAATAAGTATTGAGCTCATTATTATTCTCTGCAGAAGATTTTGTTTAAAAAGGATAAAAAACTTAAATGAAGTTGTTTCGTTCACGGACGTGGTTGGTTACTTTTACCCTTTTTAAATGCACACTTCTTCTCCGCAAATTCTAAGGTATCGTTTAGTGGAGCAGCTTAACGGGAGCGTGATGATGATGTTAACTTAGCTGGTTTGCATTAAGTTCTACTAGCACTAATAACATCATATTTACAAAGGAAACGAGATTTACGTTTGTTTCCGTTGCGAATAGTAGCTGAACATCCAAGAAGGCATATTTAAATAAAGAAGGTAAAATAAACAAGGAATAAAGAAGATATTTAACTTAGTTAGTAATACTGCTTTTTCTTTTGCTGGCGAAAACTGACACACCTGTTGATATATATCGTAATTGCTTCACCATATTTCTCCGACTATGTTAGTCAGATTGCACTGATACCATGATAAAACACGACGTTTGTCTATATTTGATTCGCATTTGCTTAATTTTATTGGGTTAGTGTTGGTTAAAAAAGATCGCAACCATTTCCTGTTAATGCATTTTTAACAACGCAATTGAAATTTTTCTTAAACGAAGGTAAAACAAGTAAAAAAATTATATTCGGTCGTGACCGAGTCTTTTATACTCATGAATTTTATCCTAAAAGCTAAAAAAGCAAAAGAACTAAATTTTCATAAAATATGGGCTTGGCGCAGCTGATTTTTTCTGTTTTCAAAATAAAAGTTTTTCCCGTACAGGCGTGCGAGCATCGTAGACGTGTTCCTTGGAAGGTTTAAATCAGTTTTAAATTCTTTCGCACAATTCTTCAATTCAATTGTATTTTCGTTTTCGCTAAGAAGAGAATGATACTACCGTTAGGCAGACGAACATACGGCCGCGCTTAAGTGCACTCCGAATTTGATGCTAATCAAGAATATATATACTTTAAGGGGTTTTTGAACCGTGGTTCTGTGCGTTATAAAGTTGCTGTGAAAATAATTAAATTTTGATATTGATGTTGGGTAGGCGCGTTCCATTTTTCCCATTTTTTCCGAGTACAATAGCATCATTCGTAAGTTTAAGTTTTTGTAGATTTATCGGGTATGGTTTAAGAATAATAAGCAAAAAACAATATTTTATTATTTCTGAATAACAGAGATGTTCTTAGTTTGCGTGGTGCTGTAGGCGTATCCTTCGACCGATTTGGCCGATTGTGAATGCCAAGCTGCTTCAAGAAGCAATTTTAAAGATACCACCTACATATTCGGAAAACGCTCTGGAAACTACCCAAACTTTTCGAATGACACGCCTACAATGCCCGCTTGTAGTTGTAGAAGCTCATGTTGCATGATTACATTTCAATCCCACTGAAGAAAAAGCGTTACCTTTCGTGTCATTAACTCTCGCAGCTTTGCCACTATTTATGCTGCTTCATCCATCTTGGAAAATGATTTCCTTGCGCATTATTGACGAATATGGTTTACATTTTAATCGCCCTTTGTCAATCATAGCTCAAAATCACGTATTAAATTTTTCACTATTATTTCGTGTGGTATATATGAAATGTATTGGTTACTCTTTTGAAAAATTTCATCGAATATCTCAAAGATTTAGTGGGCCGGAGCAAGCTGCTCACTTTGGTAAAGTACGTTCACCATAAACACTATTCGCTTAAGAACAATTTTGCTGAATTTATTTAGGCTTGCGATTTTATCTCTTTGTTTGCTTATGCATTTGATGTCTTTCCAAGTGTTATTCTGTCTGTTGTGTTGCAGGTCGCATATTTTGAGATATTTTGACAAAATTTGATGCACTGATGTATTTTGCCAAAAAGACAAACACTCTTGAAAATTTATGTTCATTTGAGAACGCATTTGCACTGAATTTGCATTCGACGAAAATTGCTGGGCAGTAGTATTTCGTATATTAGATTGGCGCGATTACTTTCGATTCTCCGCGCCAAATCTATATCAAATATATAAGACTTCTCATATATAGTAAGTCCCCACCTGGCAATAAAGTCTAATTTTTAACACTTTACGATGAAAATAGGTGAAGAAGAATAGTAAGATCTTCGACAAGACATCTAATTTAGCCATATTTAGACTACGTCTGCTCAGATTTTGAAAATCAATAAGCAATTATATTACGGAAATGTGGTCTATAAGTCGCCAGTAATGTTTTTACTTGGCTTAGCATATATTCTTATTGACAATATATTTTAATAACTTGTCATATAACATATTTGGAAATTCCCTTTCGTGATATAATCTTTTAAATAAACTAGAAATTAGTGCAGTGACGGATGGTCGAAAATATCGAAAGCTTTAATTAGTTCATAAACAAGAAAACATAACATAGCTGTGAGCGGATGTCCAGGGAAAAGCTAACGAGTCCACTGAACACTCTGCAAACGTATTAGGTATTTTCGGTAGTAAATTACGATGGATTTTACAGATTGGGCTCGTTAATCTCCACAAAATCATAATAATTGAACAAACAAAGACATTTCCTGTAGATTTGTTACCCGTAACGATTCGGTCATATTTCTTAGGAAATCACTTATAACATTTTTTCATCTGAGCAGCCATCATATACTGAAACATGAAACTACGTCATATCTACGCCATCAAAAATTGACTATTTACACCAGGCACTTCTCGGATTGGGTCAATTGTTCATGTGCAATTTAAGACTTTAAAACTGACATTGGAAATTACACTAAAACTTGGTATGAATGATAACTGAAATCGTAACTTTTTGTATATTTGCATTATAAAAACTTTTCATTCACATTTTTCATAAACACTTTTCATTATTTAAAGATTACTGTAAATACTTTGTCTATTTATTTGGTTTTTTGATGCTTTAATGTTAGGAAAATTTACCTTTTTAATAACAGTCGTGTTTTAATTAATTATTGTACGGCTTGTGTTTGCTTTTGTTTCAGCTTAAACGACGAAGATAAACGATACTTCCCATATTTGCGACGCGAGAATTGCCAACAAATTTTACACAGCCACTGCCCGCTAAGTTTTAATAATATATCGCCATATACGGACGATGTATGACAAGTGTATTCCAATTTTTAAGATAATGACGGAAAATTTTTACTCAAGTCGACCAATAAATGCGTTAATAGAAAAATGCTTTAAATTCATTTACAAAACTTTATTTAAATATTTTTTTTTTCTCTTATTCACTTTGCACACCCATCATATGTTAACCATTTTACAAAGGCATAAATAAACAAAAAAAATTTTTGAAAAAAAATACAAATTTTTTTTTGGTTTGATGTCGAAACAATTTAAACAACGATACAAATCAACAGAGTTTAATGGCGAAAACTGTTGCTTTCGCTCAATGTGGTTAATCAGCGAAAAAAATGTGTATAGTTGTGTGTAGGTGTAAAAACATTGTTGTTGTTTTCAGTCGTTGTACACTTTTGTTAGAAAATAATAGCGACGGCGACGTTATTGTGTTTGTTAGTCATCAACATTGTCATAAATTTTCATTTCATACATCCGTTGTCATCATGTCGTATTTCCGCTTATGTGACTGTTTCCGCCATATAACTGTGAGTTGGTAAATGCGCGTTTATATATCTTTACATATATATGTGCATGCATGTGTTTGTGCAGCATAAAAAAAATTTAATTTCACTCCACTCAGCAAAATGTTTCGGTCATTTAGTTACATCACGAAATGAATCTTTTGAATGGCAAATGAAAACACGAAAAAACAAAAATAAAATAAAAATTAAAATTAACAACTTTTCTATACAATCTTTGTCGCTTAACTTCATAGTCTGGCGATGAGATATCACCTTTTTTCCTTTAAATTAAATAAGATGAGTTTTTTTTTGCAAATTATTTATTTTTAAGATTTTTAAGAATTCAATTAAGTTTAATATCCTTTAGGTGCTTTCGAATATCTACCGAATGCTAATTCGAGTAAAGAGAAACCACATCGATGATATTGTTCTTCGCATCTGGTTACTGAATGTGCCTCGCGATAAGCGTGATCATAGAGTACAATATCTGAGTGTTCGTCTAATTCTCTCGTGAAAATTCTTTGCTTAGGTAAACTGTTAAAAAAAAATTAAAGAAAAATATTCATTAAAGAACCTGTGGCACTTAGTTTATAGGGCACTGAACAAAGGAAAAGGGGAGTAATGACCAATAATACAGCTATTTCAAACCTACAGTCGTGCGAAAGGGATTATTGATTTTCCTTCTTATCCCATATCATTGCAAGCAAAGATTTTGATGAGAAGACAAAGGAATCCCAAAAAAGTCAGGAAGATATCCGGCGAGAATACAAATGTTACCACCTAAAATAAAAGCTTATTTGCAAAAACCCTTGAATCCGAAATCGATTACTTTAATCATTGTTTGTTGATCTTATACCAAACGCGTTTCTACGAGATATATTCGTTTCTTTCTAAAGCGTAATTGTCCTTGTTATCTTCCCATCAGTTAGTTATCCTGAGTGCCTAATACGTTCTTTGCAGGGCTGACGATATCATAAGAAAGTTCTGAGATCTGGATTACAGAATCAGCCTAGATTTTAATCACTCCAATAGAAGTCTTTTGATGACACTGAGCAACTATGCTTCGGTTACAGAATATGCGAACGGCATTCTACACTTAGTTATGTGTGTTACAATGAATAAAATGGATTGTTGTTTATCGGGCGCATTTCTCTAGTGAAGTGCCTGTTGCCATTCAGAAAGTGATTCCAAATAGATCGGGTTTATTTCAAGTCCTTCTGAGTATCGCTTACACTCGCACAAAATTAATATACCCTTAAATAGTAAGCTGTGTTGTAGGGTATGACCATCGGAATGCCTACAAGAAATTTTCATATGCAATCATTACCTTGGATATGCTTTTGCAAGAAATGCTGGTTGGCAAAAAAAGCAATAATTCACGCTTTGAACATACAGAATCACCTCGCGTTTGTGTGCGTCGCAAAAATCGCAGAAACAAAATTTTAATCCCCTTGCAAAATAGTATTATGAACTTTATTTCGAATGTAAAGACAGTGGCTAGAATAAGAAATGTGCTGCTCAATTTGGCATGCGTTGTACATGTTCGGTTGACACGTTCTGTACTGTTGGCGTGATGTGGAGGTAACCAATTGATCAAGCAAAGTATTGCTATTTCTGTTTGATGAAAACAACAGGAATCAATTTAAGATCTGCCAATTCAACATTTCGGGTCTTGGATGCCGATAAAGTCACAAATTGTGTTCGAAGGGCTTTTCAACGGTCTTGGACGTGATTAAAGTTTGTCGGAGGAGTTTTTTGCATCGTGATTAAAAGAATGGAACTCTTCTTCTCTTACCACGAAAGTGAGTGTTTCTCCTCACGGTCGTGCGGTTTTATGAATACTTTTCTAAGCAAAGCAAATTAATTTTTTGTAGCGATATAGAATTCGTTACGGAGATTTCAGTCTAACCGAGTGATACTTGTTCACATATTCCACCAAAGTTAACCTGCACTAGCACTTTTTCTTAATGGGATAGAAATTCCTTATATACCGATAACTAGTTATGAGTTCAGGAATGGATCATTTTGCCGAAAAACTGCTTAAAAATTTCTCTTTTTTATGGAGACTAGTGTTATCGAAGATGAAAAATTGATGGAAACATCAAACAAGGCTTGACCGACATAGAAGAGCTAATGAAGTAAAAATGGGTTAATGTTCCATTTTGTTCATCGGCGCTTTACAAGTAGCTGATTAGTTATAACTATTCCGCAGATTTTCCTGACACCAATTACAACGGAAGTGAAAAATAAATTTTCCTTCAACTATTTTGGAAATCAATTCTGACTGGCATCTCGCTGGTATTCGATAAGGCGGAGCGTAATTGCTACGTGTTAACTGAATATGCGTAGTAATTGAAAATGTATTGGTCGACTTGCTCAATTTTATTAAATATATATAAATATGTATATATATAAAGCGGCTAACCTGAATATTGTCCTTAACATTTCACCAATCATACTCATCTTCTGTTGCCGAAAATATTGACGACTCTCACACAAAGCTCTCAGTACACAATCACGACCATTATAGCCCATACTGTGAAAGATATATTAAAAGAAAAGTTATACTTAAAAACCACATTTTTTCACGTATCTCACTTGTCCATTACGATTTCTATTTCCTTATATAAATTGCGACGATTACGACGATGCCAAGTAGCTAGGGGTGCAGGATGTTTGCCGAAGCCACGTAAATGATTTAAAATCCACGTAGTATTAGGAAGATCATAAGCTACGCCCCAATTCAAACCGAAACTCATGTAATCAAATCTAGGATTGCCAATAATGCCAACCGTAAAACATACAGCCACCTAAGACCACAAATAATAATAAGCCAACCACGCCTAATAGCGATTGTCTTTATCGCCTATAAATGAAACGTTACTAAACTACCTTCTTGATCTAAAAAAATAACAAAATCATATTCGGCGGGGGCCGAATCTCGCATACCAATCACTGTACTCTTTGCATTTTACTCTCCAAGTTCTTCCATTTGATACTTACATCACTGGTATTATGAAGAAAAAATTAATCGCGATGTCTACCATTTTCATTTTAAAACTAACCTATTCTTAGCCAGATAATATAACTTGATTTGAACAGTGCACAAAATAATTTTAAACATTCCGTCTTGTTTGCTTTATGGTAAATACGCATGAAACCTCAAAGAAGTGAAAAAAACAAAATTTAATTACTTGTAACTTTGTGTGAGGGGGTAAAAAATAGAATGTTTTGTAAAGTAAATGTGGAAATTGTCAGCCTAGTAGCCTTAATAATTTTCGAATAATGAGCGAATATCCGAAAATTCTTCTTAAAAAAACGGAGCTGCGTTCAGTTTACGCTCCATTGCACGCTTCTGCTCTGACCAATTTTGCCCAACCTGCGTGCAGAAACTTTCAATATTTCTATCAAATTTGAAGTGTCGATATCTTAATTTTTTTGACCAGGAAAGTGCCAGCAACACCCACCATACCGTCACACAGACGGACAGACGTGGCTAAATCAACTCAGAATTTCACGCTGATCAAGAATATATATAGGTATATACATATATATATACTTTATGGAGTCTCTGAGGTTTGCTTTTGGGTGTTACATGCATTGTGGAAAAGAACAAAATGAGTAGTAGTGGGCGTAAAAAAAATCATAAAAATAATTAAGGATACCCTTCCACGTGCATGAATAAAGGAAGAAAATTGCCCAAAGACGTTGAGCGCCGAAAAGAGAAAGCGTATTCAATATTGATATGAAAAACAACCGTAAATCAAGTACTAAACTCAACATTGTCCAAATATGTTAAGAAGAGAACTTTCCTAGTGTAGAAGAGTAGGTGATATTTAGGATTGAATTTCTTTTCTCTCTTTTCTTCAATTTCTTCAATTTTTGTAGACGTACAACACGACAGTTCATGGAGTATACGTTAAAATTTTTGTAGATTTATCTGCAGTAGTTTATGAGTAATGACGGAAAGGCCAATGGTTTATTCCTTTTGAAAAACGCAGGTTTACATGGTAACTGTAGGCATGTTCTTCGACCGATTTGGCCCATTTTCAATGCCAATCTGCGTTCACGTCGATGTTTGAAGTCAATAGCTTCATATTTGTGGCCAGGGGAATACATACAACAGACATTACACAGACGGACATGCTTAAATCGATTTAGAATTCGATGCGAATCAAGAAATTAGATACTTTGTGAGGTCTCTGAAGCTTCCTTCTGGTTTTTTCAAATGTTTAAACAAATTGAGTATATCCCTCTTCCTTCGGTGATGAATATAAAAATGAGCATAGAGTAATAACGAAGGAGTTTATATAACGGAATTAAAGGCCAGAAAATTGAGAAACAGTTCCAAACAGTGTTAATATAATTGCCCGGTAAATTGAACCACATACCGATGATGGTTGTTTTCTAAAAGTCGTGCTTCTTAAAAATGGTCGACCTATGTGCTTTATAGGAAGAGAGGTCAAGAAGTCTGATAGACCGCTCATCCCAACGGCTAAGATTAAGATTTCGACTAATCTCGACCAGCATTTTTCGTTTATTCAAATCGGATGTGACCTCATCAGGCAAAAATCCAGTGTTTCATCTTTTTTGCGGAGATTTTAAATCACTTCAAAGTTTTTTTGGCCCAACCAAAATTTTCTGTAGGTGACATTGCTTTAAGCTGATATGAATATTTTTTTCTATCCTATCGGGAGGTTTGTGTAGCCTTTAGTAACATATTAATATCAGGTTACATAAACATTTGCTTGCAAACCACAATTTACGGGCAACTCGCCATGTTAACGTACACATGCTTACACATGCATACATATGCTATCAAGCGTAGAAGTAACATATCACATACCGAAAATGAGGATCCTTCCGGAAAGGAAAGATAACGTTTCGGACGTGAAAGTAAATGTTCTTGTGCTTGTTGTCGCTGCGTTAACGTTGTTAAGAGTGGTGATGATGGTGACGACGATAATGATGATAAATGCGGCGCTGTTCTGCCGGTTAATGTTGTATTTTTTAACGACGGGTCTAACAGTGAGGATTCGACTACGTAAGCGTTCTTTGTTCTTGATTGAGTTGAATTTAATAATAAACCATTTTTTGCGCGTAGTTCAAACTGTAAATTTCTATTAATAATTTTATGGAAACTATTTAGCTTTAACTCGTCACTACAAGCAACATTTTTGCAATGATTACTTTTAGAATTAATTGTAACTTCCTTCGCACAGTTTGCTGAATTTAAACACGTTTCGCGTACCGTCAGAGTTAGGATATAGTATTTGGCCAAATAATAATAAACCAGAAATTTTATTGGCTTCTCAAGCATTATTGTTGGTGACGGAGCTATGATATACCTTTGATAAATACTACAAACACAATGAATCACAAAAGTAAACAATATCGATGGGATCTGCTCTTCTTTAGTAAAACTCTGAAATTGCTACGCAACCATGCGTTGCATTTGCCTTAAACATATCATGAGTTTTATGAGTTGTTTCGATATTAATTAGAAGAAAAAGTTCTTGGCGCTTGCTCTCACTATATGCCTTTAGACTTTGCTAGTACTGTCAAGTTAAAAAGGTGAAAGTCCATACATAATTTCAAAAAAAAAAAAAAATTGGCGACATTTTCCATTTTACATAAATATTTATTTGTTTGCAAAAATTTTGGAAATTTCAATGTTACAAATACGTCGCGCTCTGTTCTTCTCTTTAAATAGGTTGACAGTGACCAAGCAAAAGTGCGCCACTTGCGAAAAGAATGGACGAAAAAGATGTATGAAACTGCACAAACAGGATTGAATTCGGGATTCCCGCGAAAGGTCATGCTTGATGTTTAGTGAGATGGGAAAGGCGTCTTGCATTATGACGACAATGGCAATGTGGGTCGGCAAATGTTTAAAGAATTTCACTGGAAAATGTTGATGAAGATGACTTTAAAGAAGGCACGGTTAAGTTGCTTCGTTTAGTTTTTCGTCCAGAAGTCCCAGAAGTTGTACAATGATGGCATAAAGGTTTAGCAGAGAAAAGGTCATCGAGCAAAGTCGCACATATTTGGTTTTGCAAAGTTGTTTAAGTTGCAAAAGGCTACAAACTTTTTCTTTAATCCATTCTGTTTTTCTTGGAGGAGAACTTAATAAAGAGAATATTGTAAAAGAACATTTTTTTTTTTAACATTTTATCATCATTTTCTAATTTTGCTGCCATTCTTTTCTAAGTCTTTTAAAGAAATGGAAGATATATTTATGTTAATTGTTAAATCACGCACGTTGCATATGCACATATGCATTAACGAAATTCTCTTTAAAGATTTGTAGGTTTACGCCTTAGCGAAATTCAAACCTTTCACAAGTTAATTGTGTTGGGCTTCTTAAGATGTTGATATTATTTTAACAAACCAAACAAATTGGTAAAAAAAATAACCACATTTTTTCACTTAGTACTATATCTCTCCCACTTTCTTGTTTCCCAAAATACACATTTCCTTCTATTAGTGTCTAACTATTTTTTCTGTGTATGATCGAAATTGCAGTTATAATTAGTCTATATGAGCAATTGTTGCTTTGCAGTGCTGTCTGGTTAACGAAAAGTGAATCAACTGTCAGTGTTTTTGACGTCAGTTTTATAAAACAGAGCCCCATCTTACTATGAAAATTGGTATTTCGTGCAAAACGCTTTTCCAAAAATCCTCGTTGGGTTCAGGCTATATAAAGGTTCTACTGGACCAAAAAATTCAAAAAATTGAAAAGATAGCATCTTTAGATAAGCGGTTTCGGTGACAGAACACGGCAAAGAACAATAAATTAATTCTATTGCTCTCTTTTGTGAACAAGAATTCGGAGTCATTGTGAGAGAAAATCTCAGTGAAGTGCTAAACAAATTTAACCGTTTGAGTACCAAGCAGAGCGATCGCGCTGTTCAGATTTCATGTCGAGAAGTACCAGACAGTTTTGATAAAAAACTGTCGAAGAATCCCAAGCAGCGCGATCGCGCTGTTTAGGTTTGATGTCGAAAAATACCAAGCGGCGCCATAGCGCTTGTCTTATTTTATGTATTTAAATGCATTTAAATTGTTTGTTAATAAATATTTCAAGTTTGTTCCACAAAAATTATAGAAAATACAACACCAAAATAGAAATTTCTATTTTGTAATATATTATTGCACTACTATAGTACTATTGTAATTGTATTGCGCTCGACTTCGACAATACGTAAGGCACCGTCAGTTGTCGACAATGCTGGTAATGTGCTGGGTTTTCTCGACATAAAATCTAAACACCGCGATTGCGCTGCTTGGGATTTTTCAACAGTGTTTTTTCAAAACCGTCTGGTACTCAAACGGTTAATTGGCCACTGTTGGGAAAAATGGGAAAGGGCGTCAAGTCTGTGATATGAAATTTTCAAAACTTGTAAGCCACTAATTTTTGGCGATTTCGCATTAGGAAAATGCAGAAGCTGTCCAACGAGTGAAAAGTGCTTTCACTAGTGTTAACGGAGAATATCTTTCTTTCTAGATAATCAATTTGTTTGCGGTTATTGGTTTGACAGTTTAAAGGTTACGAATTACCATATTTGTTATAGTTACATCCCGCAATACTGCCCTCATACATTTCTTCCCCCAATACTGCCCTAATACTGCTCGTTATGTGCGAATGAAAATGCAACGCTTACATATATGTGGGCCGTTTAGTCTTGCGTAACATGCTAATTATATTCTCTGCGGTATAAAAATTTGTTTGCAAAAACAAGGAAAATGAAGAGCAAGCACTATCAACAGAAACAGTTTAGCTCAAACACAAATTCTTTTTTATTGTTTTAAAAAGTATTTTTAACAAATTTTTACAATATATTGATATTTATTTGCATGAGGAAAAGAGTATAAGCATATGTATATATGTGGTATAGCAATTATTTGCATATAATGCCGATATACTTATATATATATATATATATATATTTAAATACCAAATATTATCTGTTGACCAGAATAACCTCAACAAAGTAAAAATGTGCTAAGATTAAAATAATTTTTATACGAAAATTTAGTTATATTGGGACGGAAAGAGAAAGAGAGCTAAATACAAACATTTGATATGCTCGACCGCACCAAAGGCCAATTTAAATGCTAATAAAATGTTAAGCAATGTTTTATTGTAACAGAAGCACAATAATAGCAACCAAGGACAACAACTATAATGGAATTATTTTATAAATACCATTGCATTTACAGATGTACTGCTATAGACTTTGTTTGCGTATATGGACATGAACACATATTGGATGTTGTTTTATATGGAATATCCAGATTTTTCTTTACAAAAATTGTTTACATACAATATTGATGGCAAGTGAAAATTTCAATATGGAAATTGTTAAAATAAAAGGATATTTATCTTAAGGCCTAGTAAGGACATGTTTATAGTTTTATTCTAAATAAATAAGAATAAAAGTCACTTGAGGCTCAACTGAGCGAAAAAGCCTAACCCATGTGCCTCTCTGATGATGATTGTATGCAAATTATGTACAAGCAAATAAGATCGAATTCTGTGCAAATACATTCGCAGCAGCATGCTATTTTTATACCCGCCACCAAGAAAGACAAGCCAAAGATGCTTCATTTTAATGAGACTATAACAACCCATAAACTTAAGTATAAAAAAATTCGATTTGGGTCGGTTTGAAATTTTCTTGAACTCCCTGGAATTGATAGGCGTTAAAAGACTTGAATTTGGACATATCTTAAAAAGAGTCAGTTTGCGTTTGGAGGTAGAAAGAAGTGCACGTGCTGGGCGAAAAACATTCGGTTAGAATCTATAGCAAATTTCTATCTTAAACTAGTTACAAATATTACTGAAGTCATGTAATAATTCAATGGAAAGTATAGGCGGATAGCTAGTATACGCGTTCCCGTTTAACAAAATGCTTGGCCATGTTAACAAACTTGCTTAAAGAGTTTACTTGCTTTGATTTTCGGCCTTGACTCTCTGGAGACTAAGACAACTTTTAATACAAATTTTTCATATTTTTACTCCACAAACTGAAGACCGAGTAAATTTATTTTTCCATACGCAGAAGTCCTAGAAAGACACATGTATAATTTTATTCGAACTGCCCATCTGAACCTTTGCTTATTAGTTTCTCTCTTGAATCGTTTTCGTCGTGAAACTAAACGCTGGCATACAGACTCTTTCTTAATAAAATTTAAAATTACTCGCAATTAACTAAATCGGTTGCATATCGAATAAATCGATTTAATAAATGAGAAATTACTGTGCATGCGAAACGTGTATGCAGAAAAGGAAACTTGTCGGCTTTTTAAACAAGACTTGCGCACGGCTAAAAAATATTAAAGTTTCCTATTCAATTATAAATTGTGGGTGAGAACCAAGCAATAACTAAAAATTTATGTCAGTAAGCCAGTGTTGGGCGTGCTCACCAATCCACCTATTTACTGCATTTGTAGTATGACAAATCTAATGTAAGTGATTTATAAAGGACAAAAAATAAGACTTATGTGTGAAAAGGTAAATCTTGAGATTTGTAAATACTAAAAAAAAAAACGCAACAACAAGAATAAGAAATACCTCGCAACCCAAACACACAAAACGCTGAGAAGTTATTGTCTAAAGCAATAAAAGATTTTCCATTAAAATATTAAAAAAACATCTCGCCCGCTTTGGGAGCAGTGGGGAGATGTTGTTCGTATGCACAGACCAAGTTTAACCAAGGGTCATAAATATTTGTCAACTTGTTGTGATTGCGGTTGGCAATATTATTTAGACATGCCAACTACTTAAAAGAAAAAAGCCTACAACATGATTACATTATAATAAAGCAGGGCAATAGCTTATGCTCAAAAACTATATGTTCTTAAATTTGTATTAAAAAATGTAATGTTGGAAACAAAAGATTAAAAAGAGGGCAGCAGTTTGGAATCTTTCCTTGTCTATTTCCTCATTTTCGTTATTTTAAAATAGAGCGATTGAAAGATTCAACGAATTGCTCGCACCAGCAGAGTTTACAACTCCTTTTTGATCGCAGTTGTCGTAAATTTTTACTTAGAAAACAAATAATTTGAAAAAAGAGAACACAAAGGCGAACAATTGTGATCAACAAGCCACAAGTTTTCTGTGACCGAAGCACTCTACTACATTTATCTTAAAAAAAATTAAAATGAGAAACAAACACTAAATTCCCATACTTTTCTTTTCCATTTTTGTAAGATATTCGTGGAAATTTTTGTTTTTATTTAACGGGTAAAAAACTCCAGAAAGCAGAGGTGTTCTCAGTTTTGTTTGCATTGCAGGTATGTCATTTGATCGGTTTGATCTATTACTAAACTTCAATGAGTAATATTTATTCTTGCGAACACGAGTATATTTGCCATAGACATTTCAAAGGTTTCTGGATTTCAAGTTTGATACTGTCCAAAACTACAAGCATTTTAACAGAACTAATATACTACCATGTTGCGGTTGTACGTATAAAAAATGAAAAACAAGAAAGTGGAATTAAAACTTAATTGATTGCGTATAATTTTCATCAGTGTCGACCCAGTAAAAATTTGTTTTCTCCTTTCATTGCGGCTCCGGGGCTACCGAATGCCCAACAAATTCCCTATTTTATCCAATCTAGGTCATGCTTCTCAAAGGACTAGTTCTAAAAGTTCAGATATTCAAGCGTTAACACAAATAGACACCCCCTTAAGTGCTACAAAATTGACCGTAATTGCATCTAAAGACTTTAACAATTTGGTCTCTCAACTACTGTAATCAAAAAAGATCTGCAGCATTGTACCTGACATTGATACTATTTCGCAATTACGTGATAGATATTTACTCGTTCTTGTTCGCAATCTTCGCGCTGTAAAGAAATCTTAAAGGCCAAATAATTTTTCAGCTTATGTCCAATCTTATCCAAATTTGAGAAAATTTCCGAGATTAAATGCCAAGATGCGATTAACGTATATATAAATTCAACAAACCTAGCGAAGGACAAATGCGCTCCCTTATAAAGAAAATTATTCTAACTTTTGACCGCTATTGCCTTCTGCAGCTGTTGCTTGATAACATGCAAAGTTCAATATCGCATCCCAAACCCCATGAGATGCAAAAATTTCCGATGCCCATACAATAAAAAGATTTAGGATTTCAATGCTTGCCTTTTGCATCAAAAACAATAATCCCCATTTGTGTTTGGAAAAAGACTGCCTTCCATACGTACAAATGCGGAAGGTATTAAAAACAAAAATTGGAAGCTATTGTAATATAAGAGAAGTTTGAATTGTTTTCCATCTAACATATAAACTACATTTGCTGTGATCGAAGTCAATCTTAAATCGCATATCCCTACCCACTTTGGAGACGTATGGTCTGATCTGAATACCGCTTAGGCTGCTTCTCTAAAAGCTTCATAGCAGCTCGAAAAATTTGATATCGAGAAAACTAAGTTTAAATTTCAGATTGTAATCTGGATTTCTAGCACAATCCTGTTTGTTTATTTACTTTGAATACTCGACGAGAATACTATACGAGCATATTCAGGAAAACGACTTTTTTGACGATTTAATATCTCAGCCCTTTAGTTACTTGTTTATACTACATCTGTCAACGTTGAAGTCGATAAAAGGAAAACAACACAATATGATATCATACTTTAATTTAGATGAGGATTTATCACTGTTTTCTTACTTATTTACGTATTCATACGTCGGCGTAGTTGATCTTTAAATCAATTTAAGACTAAGTGTATTCCTCCGAAAAAATGTTTTAATAAGTAAGCGCGCAGACGTAGATGGACATGGCTAGTCAAAATACTTAATGGCCCCCTTAATAGCTCTCTAAATTGACCTAACAAATAAAAACATTTGGCTTCCACAAATACTAATAAATTTATATGTTCTTCTGTATTTAAATAAAATAATGTTATTGGCTTCCGCAAATACTACTAAACTTATAAATTCTTCTATATTTAAATAAAATATTGTTATATGGTGATTTTAAACAAGCAAACCTTTCCATAGAAATCGATATCGTAGTGGAATGGAATGAGAAAAAATGTGTGGGCTCGATTTCTTTTTCTCTGGCACACTCTCAATAATATGTTGATAATAAATGTTTTTTAATTTATTCTCGATTCGATTTTTGTTGTTGTGTTGTAAGCATGAATGTGTGAAACTCTTACCTACTGATGGCAACTTCCAATTTGTTGTAAAGTGCGCGTCTGTGTCGTCTTTTAATTTGGACATCCATCATATTCGTTTGCTGCCTGGTGGATGCCTTAAAGCCATGGGCATGTGCTAGCACCCATGTAATATTTGGCAAATCATAGGCAATGCCCCAATTCAAGCCCATACTCAAATAACTTTGATTCGGGTTGCCAATGACACCAGTTGTCATACAAATAGACGTCTATTAAATGTTTTGTTATTTTTATTTATGCAAAAATGTTATATTAATTTAGGTGAAAAAGTGTAATCACTTACTGAAAATGACGAGCCCAATGGAAAGGATATGAAACGCTTGCTGCGTGATAGCAGTGTTCCTTTACTGCTTACATTATGAGCTTTATCATCATTATGGTATTGTTGATGGTAATGTTCAATATTCTGTAATGTTTCCTGCTTACATTGAACAGTTGACCAAGCTTTTGTCTTATACCACAACAACTTGAAAAGTAATAAAAACCATAAAGTTCCACTCGCCAACAACCAGTTTTTTGCAATAAAAACTTTCATGTCCTTTTTATAAAGTTTTACTTCTCTAATTTCTATTTTTATTTTTTTTGTTTTTATTTTATTTTATATTATTTTATTTTTTTTAGGTTAAGAGTGCACTCATTCTAAACTGATATTCAATTGACTATAACTTCGTCGACCAAACTCTACACATTATCGTCACTCTATAAAATCCATTGATTTTTTATATACGCATATACATATACATCGATATTTATACCAGTATGATGCCTGGTAACCATTCCTCTTCATTATCATTGTCAACAACAGTTGTTCGTTGCATAGTTCGTTCGTTGTTTTGGGAGAAGACAAATACTTTGGCTTGTTGTTAATTGAATTAGTTTCAAATATTTTAGGAGTTAAAGTGGTTTTTTGTTTCACATTTAATTTCATTATATTTGGTATTGGTGGTACTCTTCTAAGAGCACTTACAATATCCCCTCATTCTCTTACATGAACGTTAAGTTTCTGTTTCATACCAAAGTCTCGTTCTGGATTGAACGAATGAACGGATGACGGGTTTAGATTGTAATTAACTTTAAATAAAAGCAACAGAAAACAAAAACTAAACGTTGATTATCTACCAAGAAAATAAAGAATACTTGTCAACTCGGGCTGCTCTATTCGATAATTAACATTATTTGTGAGTATTTTCGTATTAACACCTTTTCATTACATTGGTTTCTTTGACAGCACTTGCTTACATCGACCGCACCTCAAGTTTAGTGTGCGTTCAATGCTTACGCGGTAAAGAAAATACTTCCAAATGCACAAGTTTTTAATTTACTTACTTCTAGCTGACGGCCTTCGTTCAAACGGTCTGTGGGCTAATAAAAGTTGGCTACATGTCGACAATTCTTATGATGTTTTTCTCAACAGACAAAAGCGTTACTTATTGTTTGAAAAAAGTGCAGCAGTTACTGTAAGTGCGCATACCGTGAATCGTCTAATAATTTTTTTTTATAATTTTATTGAAATGGATTAGTAAAAGATACTTGTGTAATTTTTGGGTGACCTTTGGTAGTTTAAAGTCTGGCTTGGTTTCAGCTTTACCATCGAAGGTGTCCAAAAATTTGAAAAACATTTTCTCGTTATTGATTTAAAAGTAATCGGTTAACATCCTTTTATAAAAGAATGAACAATAGCTTATGTTGTTTAAACGTCTTCGTTCAATTGCGTCTGTCTTACTTTCAAATGCTAACTGAGGACAACCCATTTGGAAGGAGAATGTTTAGGTTTCGTAGAACATCTGGCCGGTGGATTGTCCCATAAATGATTCTCTTCGATGATCCAACCGTCCGAAGTCATTTAGCTATCATCGGCTTTTGTCTTGGTTTGCTTATCGTGCGACAATTTAGGCACCCGCCTTGCCCACTTTTCGCTTTACCACAGGTCTTTACTTATAAACGTCTGCGCAAAAAAAAAATATAAGGGAGATAAAAACGTCTCATGGGGGGATCCGTTAGTTTGTAAAAATTTTTTTTTTGATGGCGCTACACAAGCAGTTGCAATGCAAGCTATAGATATAATTAATGAGTGATGAGTTCTGAGATTATCCCCTCTTCTAGTAGGCGGCTTCATCATATTTAACCTTTGTTGGAATATTTTTTACAAAGAATTAAACGTCTTATACGACGGAAAATATTTTTCATCTGAAGCAACAATTCAAATGCGTTTATCGTAAGATACGTAAAACGGTTTATCGATAAGGAAACAATAAACTATTGTTTTTCGCCAAGATTAAAAAACTGTCAGCTGAAAGATTATTGTAGCTTGATGTAAAACTTTTGATTGACGACTTTTACGAAAACAGTTCCAGGGTTTTGTTGGTAAATCAATAGTGTCAGAAACGCCTAGAGGTTTAAATCAAATTGTTGAATACACTTTGATGTATGAATTGCCAACGGAAATACAACTATTAAAAACCAAGAAAGCTTCCAACACCACACCGACAATAGCAGTAGCACCGGCGGCCGAGTCATATCCTATCGTAATACCGTACCATCCTTCATTTAATAAGCATAAGAAATATTCTTATTATCATGGATCGAGAAGAAATTGGTCACCGAATCGATTGAATACAAAAAGTTTTAAACGCAATTTGTATGAATACGTTAACATTGGCAATAATGTATGTCAAGAACGCATAAAAAAACACAAGAGATTACAACGACAACTGAAATTTGATAATGCCGGACAACGTATGCTGTATGACATTTTGGAGCAGTGGTCATTAATGTAAGTTCATGTAATTTTAAAGCGAAAAGCTGCGAGTAGTGAGTGTATCATTTATACTCTATATGTTAATGAAAGTGAAATTGTCTGTCTTTCACATCACTTTATTTCTTTCTCTTTGCTAATTGTTTTTTTAATTTATTTCATTTTTTATTATTTTTTCTCTCTCTTCTTTGTTGTTTTTCTCTGTTCATTAACAATTCATAATGTGAATGTTTCTGACGGATTTATTTATTTATTTTTTTTTTTTGCTTTCTTGTGGCATGGCAAAGCAGGCATGGTTTTATGCCGCATTATTGTTTTATGCGTACTTTATGTGAAGCAACTCATATGCTGATGCCTTATGGTTATTCTTTGTTCCATGACATCATCTCTATACTATTAAGGTATTTGCATTTATATATATAAATATATATATATGTATATGTATGCATATATAGATACACGATTGTGAATGTATGGTGGTGTTAGTGTTTGTTTGCCTGTATGTTATTTCATAAATTTTAAAAAGCTTCAATATTTGCAGTTATGTCCAGCCTTGGGCAGAACAATATGCCACACTTGGTCGCTCGTTAAGGCATCGCGATGTAGTAGAATGCGCTCAATATTATGGTCCCCACTGCCGTGTAAGTTGGTTGCATTACATTACCGCAGCGTTGCATGACAAACACCACCAATGACAACAACAATAACAATAATAACCAACAACTCCGGACAACCGGAGGCACCATAAGCTTTAAACGTGAATGTCATTTGTAATAAAAATAAATGCCCAGCATAGTAAATATTAATATTTGTTGTTCTTTCAAAGAGAGAAACTCTTCACACACACGCACACAGAAACAAATATTCGCGTACGCCCATACAGGTTTATGTAAAATTTATGTATATTGATTTTATTTAAACAGAAAGCCAAAGTATGCTAATATATGGACTGTGTTAGAGTGCGAAGCAATTCGCATGTGTATATATTCGCACAATGGTGTTTACATATTTGATTATTGTTTAAAATTTTCCAGTTACTACTGTCTTCGTTTTCTTATTTCCAATTTTCATTGTATCAAAATGGAAATTTTATATTGTGAGATGTATATTAAAAAACAAAAGCGCAATAGCGTTTAGCACAAGACGAAGTATTTGATACCCAGCAGCGGTAAAATTAAATTTCACTACTGTTTGCAAAGCCCTAGACAAAGAAGCCGATACGAAGTACACTTAAATAAAGGTAGACTGTGTAGGTAGATCTTTTCGTTTATCTTTATAACCAGTTCAATTGAATGCAAATGTATAGAAAAAGATACCACTTAATTGCTCGTGACTATCTTTATAAAGCAGGAACAGAAATTTGAAGTAACCCGTAGTCTCGTTCGTTGTATAAAACTTTATTCAGACTAGATTCACTTGAACGAGTCAATATGTAAAGTAAATTTTGTAAATCGTCACAGTCGCAAAAATGAAGGTAAGAAGTTGAAATTCGGCACAAATATTCCATGTTCAATTAAAAATACGGAGTTGAAAAATGAGCGCGATATATTTGCAGACACGCCCACATTGGAGGATCACCACGTCTGGATCAATATAGCAAAAGTGAGCGTGTCCCAAAAAAAAAAGAGATAAATATTTGCTGCATTATATCGTTAAAAACCAATGTTCAATATCTAAAGATATCGACTCCTTTATGCTGAATTTTTTAAAATGAAGAACCCGTCAAGCCGGTAGCAATAATAATAATTGAACAAGATATTAAATGTTAATGGATGGGTGTATTAAAAAAAATATATAGTTTTTCAATAAAATTAATAAATAGAGATACAGCAATATTGGATCGCTTTTGTTATATACGTGAAAGACAGAACAGTGCGTTTTACACTCTATCTACTACGAAATAACGGAGAATACAACAAGAATCCATAGCTAAAATGATAATTAATATCAGAATGTTCATCACAGCTCTAATAATCATAGGCTTCTTTCGAATTACAGCGTTTACAACGTTTATATATTTTAGGTGTTTTGAAGGTTTAATAGCTCTCGGATCAAAAGTATGAATTTATTAAATATTCTTTTTAAAGGGCTTAATAATTTCTAGACCAGTGTATATACAAATGTATTGAGTGATTCTTTGATGACTTGATATATTTTAGACCTCCGTTTACGCTTTTTTTAAGGCTCAATAATTTTTGACAGCATATATATGAATGTATTGAATAACTTTTTGCCGAGAGCTTAACAGTTCTTAGACCAGCATAAAAGTGCAAATTTATTAAAAAATATTTCGGATGTTTATTTCTATTATGATCTTTTATTATTTGACCAAAAGTTTTCCAAATAGGATACGCTATGAGTGATGTTTGTTAGCTAGAAACATCCTAGTATGCCCATGTGAACACCATTGAAAACAAAGATGACCTTATTGCCAATTTATAATCTCAGCATTCCTTCGGATGCGGTTCAAAGGCTTTACGAATGCCTTACGGATATACGAATGATCTCTTATATATTCAACATATTTCTAGGTTGATCCCAGATCTACATTATCGTGATGCTAATTTCTCTCTGCAACAAATTTCGATAGTTTACGGACTACGTAGTTATATTATATATTTGCAATATTTTTGTTTTAAATCAAGAACATGTACAATTTAGAAACTATACATCACAAGGTCTCCAAAATAATGAAGCTACGCTAGGAAGTGTGTCCTCTCTGTCTTTATTTCGCCAAGACATCTGTTAAGGTGCTAGAGAGCTTAGAAATAGACAGGTCAGACATGAGGCTATAACTTTACAG